ACGTGACAAATACAATTTTATTATTTGAAAAATTAATAAAAAGCTCTGAAAAGAGCAATGTAACAAAAGTGATTATCACAAGAACAAAAAAAAGTGAACATAATTTTGATTTAAATAGGCCAAATCAAAAAGATGATCAAGCAATTATATCTAGTGACGCCAAAGTTCCCAATTTTACAACTCCAGTAATAAATAAAAACGGGGAGCTCAAAAAGAAGAAGTTTAAAGGTGAGTCAAGGGCACATTCATTTTAATTGACTAGTGATAAAAACNGGCACATTCATTTTAATTGACTAGTGATAAAAACAGCAGCAGCCCCATTTCTGAACGCCAGTTAAAAAATAGTACTGTTAATAATTTCAGAAATATTGATCCAAAATTTGTAATTCACCAGCCATTTTATTAATTAGATTGTTAATAAATAAATAAAGTAGTTAATTATATATGTACCTAATAGAAAATATTAAGTTACATGCATAAGTAATAAATGATTCTAAAAGTAATTAGTAGCTGATAAATAATGTAATATAGGCAATTATAATATTTAAAATTGATTTTAAATGTAAATGAATAGGGTTATATTAATCTTATTCTTCTTTTTAAAATATATAGTATTTATTACTTCAGATAAGGCAATTGCAATTGTCAAGTATATAATTATATTTAAGTATAAATAATAAATAAGCAGTTATGCATTTCATTTAAAAATTATAAATTGTAATTTGTTTTAAGGAATTTCGAACAAAATTGCTTTTTTTGAAAAGAAAGCAACAGCATTTAAGAATTTTAACAATACAGTGATCAATAATAAAAGGGAAAATCTATGGAGTAGAGTTAATAAAGTAAACCAAATTAAAGAAACACTTCAAGTAGGAGGTAATGGTGAAAAATACGTACTAGAGGAAAGAGAATACAAACTTAACCAGGACTATACAGAAGAACAAGACAAAAAAGATATTGATAGTAATATAACTAATAACATAACAGAACGAAGCGAAAATTGTCGAATTGAAAGTAAGACTGAAGGCCACATTGAGGAAAAAATAGATTTTATACATGAGCAAGAAGTAACAGAGAGGAGCAAATCAGATAATAATATTAGGATAACAGATAGCACAGAATTAAGGAACCAATCACTACAAGTAGAAGGTAAGTGTGAACAATACGTACTAGGAGAAAGAGATTATAAACTAGATCAGGATATTACAGAAGAACAAAACAAATATGATATAGATGGCAATATAACTAATAACGTAATAAAAAGAAACGAACATTTTCGAGTTGAAGTTGAGGCTGAAGGCCATAAAGAGGAGGAAATAGATTTTATACATGACCGAGAATTGACAGAGAGGAACAAAACTGATAATAATATTAGGATAACAGATAGCACAGAATTAAGGAACCAATCACTACAAGTAGAAGGTAAGTGTGAACAATACGTACTAGGTGTAAGTGAAGACAAAAAAGTTCAATACATTTCAAAAGAAGAGAATAAAACTAAGGATGACATTTCAATCTATGTAGATGAAGGTGTATCACCTATTTTTCAAGCCAATAACTCGTCCAAAAGTAATAAAAAGAAAAAGAAAAGGAAAGGAAAGAAACCTTCCCGAAGAATATGAAATATTAAACAATTGTTTACAATGCTTATGATTTCAATGTAACTTATAAAAATCAAGATTAACATTTTAAGTTAACTTATAAAATGTTCTTAAAAAAAAAATAACAATAATAGGAATATAAATTAATCTTACAACAATTTTATGTATTAACTAATAATTTTAATTTGTCTAAATAAATATATTTAAAACGAAAAGCATTTAATAAGTTGTTATCATCCAGTTAAATTCTTAATAAGATCATTTAATAATACAAAAATAAAGATAGACCAGTCGGCATATTTGGGTATGGTGTGTATTTTGATCAAGTTCTGGTATTTGGTCTATTGTTGAGTTGTAGAGTCCGAAGATTTATAACAACAAAGATAAGTAGATATAAAATGAAATAATTAAGGTTCCTCTTATAAAGATATTATTAATCACCCAACTGGTATGTACCTGTTATCCTGGTATGTATGTATCCACACATAAACAATTTAGTCTTCTGTTTTCTTCTTATTCATTTCTCAACACATACAGAAATTCTTTTACAAAACAATGTTTTTTTCACATAAAATATAAAACACAATAAACACTGTCTACCCTCTAAAACATCCAAACACACAACTCTCATGATCACGCCACACACATCCACTCCTTCATAACACTTACAAAAACCCTGATCAATAACATATCATTAAAAACATAAAAATGTAAAACCCAATAAGAGCTGGACGATAATTATACACATCTGTGGAAGGGGATCCGGGGAATGCATTAAGAATATCCCTGGGCACATAGTTCTAGTCCTGTTTCGATCCAACCGACATACGAACACGTCGCGATTATCGTCCGGCTCTCTTTCGCCTATTCTAAAAATTTGTAAAAAAATACCTTTTAAACCAGTTTTGTATTTTTGGTTTTGTTTCTTTTCTTTTACTATTACTGTTTCATGTGTTTATAACTATAAAATAGTCAAAGATATTATATATAAATTAGTTATTCTAATTCATGTATTCTTTATTGTTCCACAAGTAAATTATTGTATCAATGAGGATTATATGATCATGGTAAGAATATTCTAATTTAATGTGCACGCACTTAATGTAGTAAGTGACCCTTGAACAACACACTCCGAGAAAAGGGATAGTTCTTATTTTGCTATACTCCTATAACATCCTTTTCATAATCGTATATCTTTTTTGAGTTATGACACTGTATTAATACACTGAGGTACTAGAGTTATAGAACTCGTGATCATATTAATTACTTGTATAGGGTTAATGATAATATATTGTTATCTTCGTACAATGTGATTGCTGATTTGGGTATTGTTTTCGATCGTGAATTAAATTTTCATGCTCACCTAGACAAAATGTGTTTCAAAGCTTTTAAGACGTTAGGTTTTATAAGGCAAATTTGTAATGATTTTAAATTAGTATCTTCTTTAAAGACTTTGTATTGTTCTTTTGTGAGGTCAATTTTAGAATATGATTTGATTGTTTGGTATCCAGTTACTGCATGTGATATGATGCAAGTTGAACGAGTGCAACGTAAATTTTTAAACTTTGCGGCATATTAATTAAAAATTAATCACGCGCCACATGACTATACACCAGTAATGCATCAACTCGGTTTGCTTACGTTAGTTGACAGGAGACTTGAAGCTAATCTAACTTTCCTCAGGCGTCTTATTGATGGTCATATAGACTCTCCTGAACAATTAGAGCTAATCAAATTAAAAGTTCCATCATTTCACGCACGTTATTTAATTCTTTTTTCTGTACTAAATGTAAAACCAACTACCTAAAAAACCAGCCATTTTAAAGAATGATGAGTATTGCTAATAAAGACCCATCAGCTTTATTATATTATTAATTGTTGTATTTTATATTATTCTTGTACATATAATTTAAGTTCACTATGCTGAAATTGGTCATGTCCCGTTTTGTGAATATAAATAAATAAATATTTTAAACATTAAATCTTTTTTTAATTATTTTATTTTAATAATTAATCCAACCCAACTTTAAATTTTTATTTAATAGTAAAAATAATATAAATAATAAAATATTGTGAGTTTTTCTTATTGGGTAGCTAGTCTCTTAGCTTAATGTCTTTGTTCTAACGAGCATTGTACCGGCGGACAGGACAAAGAAACTTACGAATATATTTTTAGTGTATAATTTTTGTCTTGGTGATTATTGTGCCGCATCCTTTTAAGACGTTAGCGCCGGGCAAATTGGGCCACCACAATTCTGCCTTGATAATTTTTTTACATAGATATAAATATTTCTGAATCTTTTTTTGCCAAGGCCAGAGGAAAATTTAAGAAATATTGGTGTCGATCTCTCAATAAAATGTACTCTTTTAAAAAAAATACTTATTCAACAAACGTAAAACAATCAATAAATATAGATTATAAATTATATTTCTAATAAAATATAGAGTGTTTAGAATCTTTTAAAAGTAATATCAGTCATAGAATTTGTGTAATTAAATCATATTATTTAAAATTTTGAACCGTTTTTGTAAGTAATTGTATTGACTATATGACGTATAGTGTAGATCGTATACGCAGTGCATTAATACCAAAATCAACATTAAATTACTTGAAATATTATTGCTGACAAGGCCACGGCGTTGTCATACGTTTGACACCCCGCGGTCGTATCAGCTCCTTCTCAGCCACCGCACCACTGTAAACCGGACCGTTACACACACGCGTTATCGCCGTGGTGTAAAGTCCAACAAATGCCTAACGTCGAATACCCGCCGCAATAATACGTCGAGTCAGTCATCTTCGTGACACCGTTACAGTCCTTTGTTCTTTTTACCGTCCGTCAATACCATCGGATCACCACCGCAGTTCTTTTCGAGCAGTTTTGACATTCGCCGACGAGAAACATTTTCTACGCTATCATTCAACAATCAGTACTATTTCAATGTTATTACCTTTCTTTCTCTATTCTTGTTTTTAAATAAATCGGCTCGACGCCACCGCAGAAAACTTAATCTTGTGTCGTCTACTCATTCAGCAACTACCCACTAACATTGCATTACATAGGACGTAAGCTAAGTAGAATTTTACCTATGCTTTCGAACCTCCAACAATTTCTAATTAAATTTTCTTATTATTATCATATATATTAATCGTTTATCTGCTCTTACTCTTTTTTTTATTTTATTTTTAGTTTATTACAGTCTGTGGCATATTTTGAACAATAATTTCTGAAGTCATTAACATTTTTCAATATATAATTGTGGCAATATGCAGATTGTACTATTTTTATCATTCTAGCGCGTTCTCCTATTAGCCTGGTAAATACATGTTCAAACACAAAATAATTTTTTTTTACTAACTATTTAAATCAGCAAAGTTATGACAATAAATATTATAGTAACTCAAAATAACGGGGAAAATGGTAGTTGTGGTGAGTGTTGAGTAAAAACGAAGAGTTACTTTATTTCGGGGTGTTGTTTGAGGGTTATAAAATGACATATATTTAGACTCTTATTGACTTTTAAAAATTTTACCTGATAATTTTCCTGTTTCTTACAATATTTTTATTTATAATATTAATGAATAATTAAAAACAAATCAATTCAGTTTGCAACTTTAACACTTGAGAAATTCGACAATGATGATTATAAATTATGCGTACTGATGTTGAGAGTGCGATTAGAACAGACCTCGAATATCTGGAGACAGATTCCCATGAGCCCTCAGCACTGACTGCCTTATATAGTATTTTGTATGCCCGAATAATCACCATTGTCTCATTTTGCAATATTATTATTTTATTGACAAGTAATCATAAAATATAGAAATTAATATATAAATAGCATCAAATATATAAATTAATACATTAGGATCACTTTGATGTTTTATATGACGTTAATATAGTTTGTTTATATATATATAAGTTTAGGGTTTTACACATTGTGTTTTATTAATTAGATAAGAGTAAAAAGAACTGACAAGTATAGTTTATAAATTTCATAAAGAAAAACAACCATGTTATTCTAAGCTTCTGAATATAATTTATAAATAAAAGTGTTAATAATCTTAAATGAAAAGGTTAAATGTAAAACCATTATTGTGGACACAAAGTAGCCCACTGTTATTTAATACTGTGATAGTGACGAGTGTATTACGACAATATAAAATCAAATTCTTATTAATATTAATTTATTATTATTTTAGTTTATAAGCTTAAAAAAATTTGGTAATTATAAAAACCAAATGTAAAGATCATATATTTTTAGTATTATTCATTATCTGTGTCACAACATGTCTCACTGCTATCTACATTGTAGATTAAATGCATTATGGCCCGTGATAATGTTATAGCATTTACATCTGTTCTTTTTTTCAATAACCATGCTGAAATAAAATGAAGTACTGTTAATTTTAGTCATAATATTAAATTAATTTTTGATATACACCTTCATAAAATACTTCATTTATATTTTCAAACGATTTTAATATATCTTTTATGACATCATTGTTCATGATAATTTTATTTAAGACTTTTTTAAAATCTTGTATAGACACTTTTCCAGTTCTACTCAAATCTATTATGTAAAATTCTTTAGACAATTTTGCGAATAAGCCAACCATTTTGATTGGAATATTGACATATGTATCGGTCAAAATTTGTGTCAAAATACTAAGGCTAATATATTCATTTTCTAAAAAAAAATTCAATTTAAGCATATAAAAATAGAACAACAAAAATTAATTATTAATATTTGTATTAAAGAATTCTTTCATACAGTAATTTACATTATATTTAAAAATATATTTTTTTAATACAATTATTATTGAATAAAAATAATTATAGATTATAACTTAGGAAATAAATCCTAATGAATTATATTATTTAACTATAAATTTATATTGATAAAAACATAAAATATTATTTGTTCGATTTTGTGAAAAAAAAGGAGCACATGGGGAAAGTATCCTTAGTAAATTACATTGTTAATTACTTTATTATTTTATGTATATTTTTGTACTAATGTAAATAATTTTGTTAGTATTTATTTATCGATTTTAGCTACTAATTTAATCCTTTCACTTGATTCTCATATAAATGTATTAAGGAACATAGGCCTTGCATTCACAAAATGTAATAAATATTTAATGTATAAATTTATTACTTCAGCATAGTCATTTTTTTGCTTTTAACATAAATTAATCTATCAGCTATTCTTACTAGTAGATTCAACTTCGCTGTGCTTCACCACAATCTTTATGTCATCGGAACCAACTTGTTAAGTATAAAAATTATATGTCAATTTCTATTAACGGAATTTCTGCAATTCCTCAAGACGATAATCTCACCCCTCTCCAATTTAATATATTTATAAATGATATAATGTTCTCCTTACACACCCAAACATTCTATTATACCTGTATAATCTGGAACAGATCTAACTGACAACTCATATAACTTATGAACCATATAACATTTTATACTTTTTTTTTTAATCAATTTTTACAATATAGAACTATATTTAAATGTTTTATGTTGTTTTTCACAATTAAAAAAAAAATTTTTAAAAATTATTTTTTTTAATAACATTTTTTTTAAGATTTGAAGATAACTATTTTATAGATAAGTTTTGATATAAAAAATTTTTATTTTAATTCAGTAGTTACGTTTATGAAGCATTTTGAAATTTTTTTATAATTTTCCTTGGTACCAAATGTTAGTCCATATTAGGTAAAGGATGGAAGTAAACACTGTCTTAATAAGTGATTTACTGGTGTTAGTACGCGATTTCTTTTCCATGGATAATAATAACGTTTGGCTCGCTTTTTACCTAAATAATTTTCTCTAATGTTAATTACAGAAGTTAGAAACATTATCGTATATCGACTACAAGTGTTCCATGGTTAGCCAAGTTAAAAGTAAGAAATTACGTACTATTATGTAATATAGTTTATTATTTGTAATACTGCAAGTAAAATATTTTTGTAATTTTTGGTTTAATTGTAATATATTGAATTATTGTTACTAGACCAGGAAGTAAATATTTATTAAAAATTTTTGATTGTATTGTTAATGTTGTAATCGTAAAAAGAAGAAAAACAAAATATTTTAGCATATAAGACAAAATGTAATGAATTGTAAAGGAGAAGAGAGAGGACCTCGGGAATGCCAAAGGTAATCTTTTTTTGCGTGGTTCGCGTTAGTGACATTAAGTTCTCATTTTGTGTATTGTTTTATTAAGTTTCTTTATTTTGTATGTTTTACATTGTTTAATTATATCTTTAGTAGTTACATTTGCGTTATTATTGAACTTTTATTACTTTAAGTTAAGACTCTATGTCTGTTTTAGTAAGTATTTCGAACTTAAATCAATATTAATTTATTTTATTGTAAATAGCTCAAAGCGTTTTGTGGAGCAAATTAAGAAACGAAAGATAATGAAAAAAGTAATTTCATTTCTACTCTTATATAACCTTTTATTGATTTATTCTATTATATATTTTTGTTTCAAAACTAATTATAAAGTGAATTATAAAAGAAACTATTTTCAATCCCTGATAATATATAAATTAATTTAAATTATGTTAATTACTATTGAATTTATTCAATTTTTTTTCTATTTCTTTTGCTTGCTCGTCTTTAATTTCATACAAATTATTCAATACATTTCTAATGGTATAAATATATGTTGACTTTGGGAATATTTTCTCAACTATTGCCTTCATTTTTTCAGGTATTTCATAGGTCTTGAAGTTTGAAAAAAAAATTCAGTTAATAAATATTTTTCAAATAAACATTTTTATGATAAGCAAGTATTTACTAAGATTACAATACTGAAATTTTATAACTGGCAAACACACGTTGATGTAAAATATATTAATATATGTTAAATACTGAGTCAATACTAAAGAACGTTAAAAACTAGTATCAAATTAACGACGAGCTAATAGTAAATGTCTGCTTAAGAGTAATGTACAACATGTAAAATTAAAAAATACCTTTAATAATATTAAATAAAAATATAAATAATATTTGACAATAAAATCTCAAAAATTTATTATTAATCTATAAA